CCCTCGGATTATCTGGTTAGGGCACCAAAACAGTCAAACCAGGACGGGAATAATGTAGTTCTACCAGTATACAACGTTCTTACTTGAATCCAAGCAAATCTAGCTGGCACTAACTTGCTTCTTTTAAACTATACGTACAAAGATACAAAACTGCATGCGGGCATAATTGAATTGGTCGGATAGATGTACAACATTTATGTCACATGAAGTGCATGCTATGATTTAATTGTACAGCAATACCACAGTCGAATTTACGCTCTCGAAGCTATATGCGAGTACACTAACAGACTGTAGCAGTAGTTAACTCTGAAAAATGAATGTTTTACTATATGTACGAAGTAAAATTTACTGGGAACTTTGAAGAACTGAAGCGTACATAGCTAGTGCATTATTTCGCTGAATTTTACCTTTATAGCAGCTTAAAACACTTGCAATTGTGTTCAAATTATTTGAAAAAGGGGCGCAAAAATAATCTCAGCGCCATTTTTAGCCACCACAACACTGCCTAGTTCATTAAATCCAAGTCAATACTGAATGGGCGGGTAGGAGGATACGAAGAAGGGTTGCGAAGCTTCCTTATTACATTGAACTCTTGCGAAATGGTGATCGGAGAATTATTTTAATTTTTTTTACATCTTTCTTGACTAGGACTATGTACCAGTTGTTATAGATGCAGAACATGAGGATGGTGAAGAAGATCATTCCTATGTTAACTACCCAGCTGGTGTATAGTCAAAGTTAGAAGTAACTGCGATGGCCAGAAACCAGCATGTTACATTGTGTGCATGCTGTAATTATGGTTTTTCTATCCGCTCTCGTATTCTCAAGGCTCATAATAAAGGTTTAAGCTTGGTAGTCTTTCGTCAAACGGTCAAAGAAAGAAAGTGGTATTTTTCAATACCGGAAAAATTGACATAAGTTATGCAAATTATTAATGTGGTTCAAGAATAAAAACTTGAAGCGGCGAAGAGAAATGAAAATTCTACCGTTCTGTTTAAAATGTCCCTGAAATAGCTCATTTTTGGTTCTTAAAACAGAAGTGGTAAGCTGTTTAGTAAACACATTTAGTAAGCATGTTTGTTCGCTATATAATTTTACTATATATAAGTGGATTTTGTAATAACAAAAATAGGAATTAAATTATTCTGGAAATAAATAAAAGTGAATTATTCGCACTAAATGTCGTACTTTAAAGTGCTTATGCAGTGAAATTTCGCACCATCTTTTCATGATTGTATTGTCAAAGAAAATTCAACAACACTTTGCCTAACATCTTAGCTAGATGGCTTGTTTCTTTTTCTGAAATATTAAGCAATGTTTGATATGCAAATTATCCTCACTGTAACGTCAAATTACATAATGGTTTCTGAAAAAAACATCTGTAACTCTTAAATAATATAACATAATATTTGTAGTATCTCGCCATAACACATATATTTATGGATTTATTATTTCTATGCACGATATCCCAAGATCTTGAAGGTTTCTCTAAAAAAGTGAAAGTCATAATGTGACGTCATAATTACGATAATTTGCATATGAAAACTTTTTTCTGTGTTGGTGTAATGTACTCAGGTGAATATGATGCTTGTGATGTACTCTGAGTGTATATATTGCCCGGTGTGGATATACACTCAGAGTAACATCACAAGCATCATAATATTCACCTGAGGACATTACACTAACACAGAAAAAATTCATGATTACTAGATTACACTGATATCGAAGGAACTAGACTCAGTTCCGAATTATCACATACTCGAACCGACCTGACCGCGTAGCTCAGTTGGCTAGTATTCCAAAGGTCGTAGGTTCGATTCCCACCGTGGCCAGGCATATTTTTCAAGTTTAGGCCGTAGGATGAGCATCCAAAAGATGCAATTCCGTTGCACCCCTCGTGTAACTACGTAATTTTCACATGAATAAATAGATAAAAACTTACTTTATCAGAATCCGTTGCTCCCCAAGCGAAACAGGTGCACAATTGAGAGAAAAATCCCTCCAAAGTTTGATATTTTCGCGCTTCGAAATACTCGAACCGCCATTATTTTGGTAGCAAATACGCATGCGCAACTCAGCCAAACTCGCACTGCGCACGCGCAGACTATAAAAATAGATTCTCACTGGGGGGTTTCCCCGATTTCCTCCGCGAAAACAACAAAATAAAATCACGGAATACTGATCAAACCTTGTAATATAAATACACCCACATTAAATATTGTTAAAAACACATTGTATGTTTTGCTTGCTCATATGCTAAATCACTTCAATTCATTGGCTATTGTTTCAAAATACCGTTTTAACGTTTAATTAACATCCTAATTCAATACAAATTTGTGTGAGGTAAAAAACCCACCTGTATCAAACAGGACGGAGAATAAAAAATATATATGCATACAATTCACACGATCAAGGAACAAATGAAATATTTCGCTAAACTTAAAGCCTTGGCCAAACGTAAGAAACAATGGCGCGGAAATATTCGTGATTTTTAATTGGCTTTTATTGCAGACGCAAAATTTGCTTCCCAGAAAGCAAATTATTTCCTACCAAATTCAGAAGCATTTTATGAAACACTCTTTATCCGTTTGCCGACGCTGATAAGACAATATGACATACCGAGAGATTGGAAAGACAAATAATATGACAACAGTGTTCCCCAGTTCATCCCGGGCTTTAAGGGATATTTATGTAAACTTGAAATTCATCATAAAAAAAAAGATAAATTGGGAGGAAATATAAAATCCATAATTTCATTATAGCTATCTATAATTGAAAGAAATGTTTTCATCTTTGAACCCAGATTTTCATCAGAGCAATAAAATCCCACTTATTGGATCCTGGCCAAGGGCTTGCACGCTCAAAACGAGATTGCATGTATTCTGCAATAAGCTGTCCTGGCTTTTGTCTGGTAAAGTTCTACTTCTCGTATTTGAACTATTACATATATTATATTTATGTTGTGACATAAGTTGGTATTTAGCCACTATCTAGAATAACAACGAACGATTCATTATGGTTTTTCTTGTCCACACTAGTTGACTTTTTCTTATAGATTTGCTGCTGTGCATTTTAGCTCCTCCACCAGGGTGCGTTTTAGCTTCCCAGACATGACCATACTGTTACCCTGTCCATGAGAGGGATATATGTGTTGATAATATAAATACTGTGGATCCGATTGAGAATATCGACTAAGTAAATAAATACTGATCTACTCCACTGATAATATCTATGTGCATTACCACCATTGTTCACCTCAAATCATTAATAATTCATGAGCAAATTAGCCAACCATATTGCTTTATTTTGCTCACATGATAATACTAGATCCCTTATGAAGTATATTGATCCTGTAGTGCCCTACTGTAGGACTGGATTAAAATTAATTCAGTCCTTGAACTGGATCAAAATCAACTAAGTAGTGATTTATTTGTATGGATGTCATTTCAAATCCTCCAATTCGGACTGGACTAGATTTCAAGTCCTCACATTTTGATCCAGTCCTCTGCTTCGCCTCGGACATAATCAAATTGTGTGGACTTGAAATCTAGTCTAGTCCTGACCTCATAGTCGGATTTGAAATATTATCCCTTGTCAAATCAGATGCCAATGGTGGCCAAGGAAGATTCAGTTTTGGTATTTCTTGCACCTTTTGGTGAAGAATCAATGCAGCATTGTATAGAATTTGTAACTCATTGACTTTAGAATTTCCCTCAGTTTCTGTGTTGGAATTCACATCATCATAATCAATGGTACAGCTCTCTTCATCAAAGTCCTCATCATTGTTTTCAGACTTAGGGCCTGTTTATATGGAAGCCGGCCTGATAAGCGAGACAGCCTGGTAAGCAAGATCTTGCTGTGTAGTTATTTTTATAGTAAAAATTATCGTGCGTTTATATGGACAAGCGGGCTGGCCCGGTTGCCGAGATCTCGTTTGAAAGAGGCTAGATCTCGCTTACCGGGATGGAAATTTCTCCATATAAACATTTACAAGAGGGCTATCCCGGTTGCCGGGATGAAAGTTCAAAGATACCACCGCAATCTATTTTTAACAACTGTCAAAACAATACAATATAACAAAATCGTCCCGGCAAGCGGGATGAAAGTTTCTCATATAAACCCAAGAGAAATTCATCCCGCTTACAAGGCTGTCTCGCTAAGCGGGCCAGCCCAACTTCCATATAAACAGGTCCTTAATTGACATATGTTCCTCAACCAATTCAGAAGAATCCAAATTTTCCACAAATACAATCTCACTAACATTTCTCATTTTCGGTACACATAACACAAGTTGGGGATAACTTTTCATCAGTCATTGCTTGAGTTTAAAAGCTCTATATTTAGATGCATCCACATTCTCAGTGTCCTTAGGAATGATAACAAATTTCTCCAGCAAATCTTGATTCTTTCATATACTTTATTTGCATATTTCTGATAACCTCCATCTCAATTACTTTTTTACAGAATACATCATAAGACTTCTCGTACACTGATGCTCTTGTTGCTTCTTCGTCTCTCTGGTGAGAAATATTGTATAATTGCAGTAGCAAATTTTGTGATAGCGGATTTCCAGAGCTACATAATCTTCCCCTGGATTTGCATGAGTATCTGTTGATCATTCTTGTTTCTGCCAACATGAGTGGGTTCTTCTTCTCTTCTTAGTTGCCTGGTGTGAAACAAAATAAATTATTAAACTAAATATCTACTAATAAGTAATAACAAGGTTGGATGTTTGTAGCATAGAAACTACTTTACCCTAAGTAAACTTAATTGATCACAATTCAATATATTTTAAAACCAAACCGGAGAATGTTGTGCACATTGCGCTAGTATTATACCTATCAAAATGACCATACCTTGTCTAGTGAGAACCAAGAGGCGTCTCTTCCACAAATAATACATATCTCTGGGAGTACATGCGCGTTTCTTTTAGGCAGGGCCTTTATATTTATAGCTTCTGCGACTGATTGACGTGTAATTTTTCGCCTTGGTTCTATTGCCTCCACTTCCACGTGTGATTCTTCGGTAGAAGTTACAGTTTTACAGCTAGTTCCTTCTCCTTTTTCTTCTTTTCTCTGTGATCTACAGATCTTCTCTTCATCACAAAATCTCTTCCAGCATTTCATATGATGGTTCCATTCTAAGTTAATGGTGTCAGGGTTCTTCTCCATGTATGAATTGACAGATCCGTCATCGATGTTCTCGTACCGATTTCTTAGCTATTTCAGCTTGTTGACATTTAAGTTTGGCCCATTTTGACCTACACTCAAGAAATTTCTTAAGCCTTTGGCGTGTAACTTTGCAAAGTTGCTCCGTAACGCCATCAAAATGAGCGTGTTTCCACTTCGAAGCATGTGTGTGTTGGTTGTACGCGTGCGCAGTGCGAGTTTGGGTGAGTTGCGCATGCGTATTTGCTATCAAAACAATGGCGGTTCGAATATTTCGAAGCGCGAAAATATCAAACTTTGGAGGGATTTTTCTCCCAATTGTGCACCTGTTTCGCTTGGGGAGCAACGGATTCTGATAAAGTAAGTTTTTATCTATTTATTCATGTGAAAATTACGTAGTTACACGAGGGGTGCAACGGAATCCGTTTTCTAAGCATCTTTTGCATGCTCATCCTACGGCCTATACATGCCCATGGCTACCATTGGAAAATATCGTGATGTTCCGGTATATTCCGGGAAAATGTCGCAATATTCCGGCATATTCCGTGATATTCCGGCATATTCCGTGATATTCCGCCATATTCCGTGATATTCCGGCATTCCGGGTTTTCACAACGCCCAAATAAAAAGTCTACGAAGATGTCTAGTATAGGTATCTAGCCCAAAATCGTTTAAAGATATATTTTAAGTAGCTTTTTTATACATGGGGAAAATTAAATAAAAATATATAATATATATAAATTTGTAAACAATAACTATTTTGAACGACAAGTTGTCAATTTCAAATTACTGCATGCATTCAAATTAACACGAAATCAAAAATATAAAAATATTTATACATTTGCTAGTTAAAACTATACTCTATAGCAATGTACTTAATAATACACTTACTGTAAATACTACTGATATATAGTTTTAGTTTTCATTTAGGCTTGTACAAATATATGCTGTAAAGCAAAAGTGCTCGCGGGTTTTATGAGTTCTCAGACTTCTATGCCATGGTTTCAAAAGTGCTCGGGAGTCGGGTTTTATTTTAACGCATAAAACCCGAACACTTTTGAAACCATAGTCATAGAAGTCTGAGAACTCCTAAAACCCGCGAGCACTTTTGCTTTACAGATTTTTTGTACAAGCCTAAATGAAAACTAAAACTATATATCAGTAGTATTTAAGTATATTATTAAGTACATTATATAACCTCAGTCGAGCGAGATTATTTGAGGATACCCATGCAACACATGGCCGTCATAAGGCCCTGTTACACGGTGCAATTTTTCATGCAACTTGTCTCGCAATGGCGTTGCGAGACAAGTTGCACGAGTCATTGCACCGTTTAACATGCCTTGCAATGGTCAAAATTGTTGCGAGACAAGTTGCATGAAGCATTGCAGAGAGTAGAAGTCGGTTCTACTTTTGGCAACGATTGCACTAATTATTTTAAGCGTTGCAGCGTGTAACATGGCTTCGTGCAACTTGTCTCGCAATATTTATAGCTTGG